AATGCGTGCAACACGTGAAATCCTAAAAAATTGAGTTTTATTTAATCTTCTCGCATACAATTTGTAAGACGTATAACTTTTTTGGATATTTTTTTTAAATATAAAATCAATCAGCATTGAATGCATCGTAAACATTGGGTTAACAATTTTGAAATTGATTGCATACACGTATGCAAGCAAAAAAATATCGGGATTCCAACACATATAACTTTTTTAGATATTTTTTTAAAAAATATATATAAAACCAATAAGCATTAATCCATATAAAAAATGGGCTCTGGCATTAATCTATCCAAAAAGAAAAATAAGTTTTGTTTAATTCTCCAGCATTCAATTTACAAGACGTGTAACTTTTTCGAATATTTTTTTAAATCTGTTTTGTTTAATCCTCTAGCATACAATTTACAAGACGTATAAATTTTTCGTATATTTTTTTAAATTTAAATTCAATAACCATTTAATGCACCCTAAAAATTTGAATTTTTTTTATTCCTCCCGCATACAATTTTGTAATTGATTGCATACACTGATACACGTATGGAAGCCCAAAAATTCGGATTGACTACACTTCCAAAAATCTCAAATTTTGAATTTCATGCCTATTTATTTTATATATACGATTTAAATTCTTATCTCAATATTTATTTTATATATTCGATATAATATATAATATGTAGGCTCATAATATTTTATCTAGTGTTATACATATTGTTTAGAATTTTTTTTTACACATTCTATCTATATACACATTTACATATACACCATACATATACATATGTTAAATTTAAATATTTTTAGATTTGTTTTTAAATAATTTAAAAAATTTTAGGTGACTTCACATCTTTTTAAATAGTTTTAGACATGTTTTCTTTACAAAATAGTTTAATAATTTTTTGAGTGACTTCACATATTTCAATAATGATATATAAAATTTTAGATACTTTTACATATGTTATATAATATTTTAGGTACTTTTAATATTTTAAACATATATTTTTTATTTTTTTATATAAGATAAGTTTGTATTGTTTACAACTAATATACGACAAATTATATCATATATTAACTCTACATCTTTAATTTATAATTATTTGTTAATATTTTGTACTATTATATTTAATTTATAACTATTAGTTAATATTGTTTATCATCATATTTAATTTATAATTATTATTTAATATTATTTGCGTGCATCGAATGGACTACACACTAATATATTTTTAAAGAGAAGAAAAGAAAAATGAAATTCGTCAATAATTGTGTGATATATATCTTTCTAATTTTACACGACTCTCTCCATAAATCTTTATCCAACTGTAATTAACCAATTATGATAAAAAGAGTTCTATCCAAGTAGAATTAAATATTAGTACTCGTATGTTCACATGCAATTAAAAATTATATGTACATGCACAAATACAAATAATAAACATAAGTTATATGTTTGAATATAGTAGTAGAATTATAATAAGTTAGATAATAATATCATATTTTAAAAAATTAATCACTAGTAAAATTTAATAGTATATATATAAAATTATTTAACTACATATGAATCGCTATATGATTTCATAAAATGAATACTTTGTTTTTATAATTTCAAGAGATCATGACCAGTAACATGGAAGGAATATTAAAAATGTTATTATAACAATTGTTTATATATGTGTTTAAGGAACTTGACTATGCAATTAAAATTAATTATTTTTTAAACCAATGGCATAATGAGAGGAAAAAATGATAATATAAATTTTAGAGTAAATAACTTGAAGAAAAAAAATGCAATATAACTTTTTATACTTATGTAACTTTCATATATCATTTAGTTGTGAAATATAAATACTTAATTTAATAGTAACTATTAGTCTATTATATGAGAGAATAATTAAACAATAATATTATTACTTAATTGATATAAAATGTAATAGCATTAATAAAATTTAGCACTAATTAACCTACAAAAAGGAAAAGAATAAACTTTAGCACTAATGGAATAATCCCTATGTATATAGATNAATAATAATAAAATAAAAAAAAAAAAAATAAATTAAATACCGTTGCTACTAAGATGAGGAAACTATGACGCAATCTTAATTGATGACTATCATTTCTACTTTTAGTCGCATAGTTTTAAAATTGGTTGCGAACTCATTTTAAAATAACCAGTTCGTACGTGTTTATACTGATTGAGAAAATGTTTTGTGCTATAGATAACGTTAGAATGTTCTCTTTTTTTTTTTTCCCCTTTTTATTTAAAGAATCCTTATATACTTACATTCTTTATTTGTTATTCTAATTTTACCATTAAAATTATATCAAGTATAAGGACTTTTTAGTCCGTATAATTTCTTACAAAATAACACTTCATGTGGAATTATATATTCGTTTAATTTTTTTCTAGATTATTTTAACGTTTTTCTTATCTAATTTTCAGGATCACGTTATTATTATTGCATGGATTTGTAACTCACAAAACACATGTAATTAAAATAACCAGGGTTTGAAATATTTAGAATTTTATTTATTATTACAATTTTACCATTACATTTATATCAAACATAAAGAATTTTCGTATGTGTAACTTTTTACAAAAATCACGCACCCTTTTGTCATTTGAGAAATTTGGTATGGCGTGTTATTTTTTTTTTTATATTTTTTTTATATAATCATGTTATGTCAACTGTTTTTTTATATGCAATATATAGTTAAATAATTAGTAATATGAAAATAAATTATAGTAAAGTTATATTATGATACTTCACTTAATTTGTAATTTGTATATGTGAAATTGGAAATAGGCATTCCACCACTTTTCTCTTCTACGTACTACTTAGTAAAGTAGTCTTGATGCAATTCAATCATCCAAATGGTTTGAATCTCCTTTATCCATATGATGAACTCATTTTAATTATTCAGTATAATTAGAATATTATAATATTATTATTTTGGTTAGAAAGAATTGTGCTCAGATATAAATATTATATTAATTTAAACATCCACATAAGATTGAGTGTCAAAAAGAAAAAAAAAAAAATGGGCAGTTGCTATGTTGCAAATTTCATGATAGTTTGGTAGGTAAGAAATCATTTACCCACTACTTTTAAAATTTAACCACATAATTTTATATTGATAATGGATATTTTAGTTCTTGGAATAACTACCTAACATCATGTATTAGATTATTACTATAAAGTGATAGGATTTTATTAACAATAAAAAAATATAGAAAAACTATTAAGGTTATTTTCCCTCCTTTTTTTCTTCTTTTCCATGTTTTAAACCAATTCTTGAAACTTTAAATAGAGAATTGAAGAACAAGCAAACAAAAATAAAATAATTACTTGACCTAGTAAAATGGTAACAGTTATTTTCATTGCATTTGCAATATAATCTGCAAATTGATGTCAAACAATAAATTAATATTCTATTTTATTTAATTAAATATATTTTGTTTGAATTTTTTTTCTTATTTTGTTAAAAAGATTTTTGTTTTTATTAGAACCTTATTTTATGGAGATAAAGAAAGAGTGATACGCGTATTAATCATAGATGTATTTTTGGGGTTTTCTAAACGGAACTTTCATTATAATTCAATTAATTGAGATACTTATTACATTTTGACACTAAAAAGATATCAAACATAGAACTTTTTAGTCCGTTCTATTTTTTTATTTTTTTTCAAAAAAGCACTCCTTTTGCCATAAATAAATATTGATCATTATATATAGATAGATGGATAAATTCGGCTTGAAAATTCTTCTATTTCCATTATTCTTGTTGCTCCTTCTTTCTTTCATTTTGTCCTTTTTTATTTATAGTTTTACAATTCATTCATGAATCATCACATCATTATCATAGATATAATTCCACAAAATCTTTCTTTTTTCTATCATTGATCTTTCTTTTACTTTTTTATTTTTCATTTTATTTACAGTAGATAGTAGATATTATACCAAAAAGGAAATCCCAACTAGGGCGTCAGGTGTGGGGACCACATGCTTGGCATAGATTCTTTCCTCTTTCCTCTTTCCTTATCAACAACATACAAAACCCACAGTCGGCTTTGCATAGATTCACATATTGAGAGTTTTTTGTTGTGACAGGTAATATTAACTGAGAGAGAAAGAGAGACGCAATTTGCTCTCATAACCTTTTAATTTGTGGTTGGGATTTCATCTCCAAAGAAAAAGTCTGGGGCTTTTTTGTACAAAGATTGGTAATTTGGGTGAAATTACTAAAGAAAATCATATGTTGCTGATATCTGCAAGTTTTTGGGGGTACTAATATATTTATTGCAAATTTAATCAAAAGAGTGGAAGAAAATAATATATTTATTGCAAATTTGAGCAAAAGGGTGGAAGAAAATTAAAGCCCTATTGCTTAGAATAGTCAAGAACCTTTGCTCTTTTTCCCCTTTCAGATCCCTTTCTTGTCTGATTTTTACTCTGGTTCTGTGTTTTCTATTCTATTTAGGCCATAACAATCTTTTGCTGTTCTTGTCTGTGCCAAAAGTTCGTTGATTTTACATTTTTCATGTCTTTTTCATAGTAATGGGGAAAAAAAGAATGGAATCTTTGAGGGTGTAACAGTGTCTTTTGGCTCTTTATCTTGTGGACTCGAGATTTTCGACATCCTTTTAGATGTCCCTTTTACTTATATTTCTGAATTTATGAAAAAAGTCTTGAAATACAAATTTCAGCTTTAGCTCAGCTGGATATGCATTAGCTCAAGACAAGGAGTCCAAGTTGTTGTAACTTGTAAGGATTACCATAAAAATTGGATCTTTGATCTTGTGAAACACAAGCCAAATAGCAACTTGGGCTCCTTTACAGATTCTTTCACTCCCTGCACAATTAGTTATTTGAAGGATGACATAGGTTTTTAACAATTGATAACAAACTAAAAACCCATATTTCATTACAGGGCTGATCTCTTCTGTGGAAGCCTTCTTTCCTGAATTTGGATCTGAATTTCAGCAGTTTGTGTGTTCTTTTTTGGTAATGGAGGATAGTTATCTTCCTCTAAGCACGATTCTCGACACACCACCCTATACCTTCATGGATTTGGATTACATGGACGAGCTCTTGCTCGAAACTAATGTATCCGAGCTCTCGCAGTTCGCGTGGCCCTCTCTCGAAACCAAGGAGGGCCCGTCTAACGACAGCCAACATGTAGTAGACAGGCAAAGATGGTGGATCGGGCCTAGGCCCGCGAACTCGGTGGTTGACCGGTTGACTCAGGCACTCGAGCACATTAAGAACCGAATGAGGGACAAAGACATGCTCATCCAAGTGTGGGTCCCGGTCAGCAGAGACGGAAAATGTGTGCTGACTACACATAACCAGCCGTTTTCGCTCGACCTCAACTGCCAGCAGAGGCTGGCCCACTACAGGGATATATCCGTAAATTACCAGTTTGTTGCGGATAAGGATTCGAAGGAAGTTGTGGGGCTGCCTGGACGGGTTTTCATGAATAGGGTGGCCGAGTGGACGCCAGATGTGCGTTTGTTCACGTGGGATGAGTACAGAAGAGTTGAGCATGCTCAGAAGCTTGATGTTCGAGGCACGCTTGCAGTGCCGGTTCTTGAAAAGGGGAGTGGGAATTGTTTGGGTGTGATTGAGGTTGTCTTGACCAAGCAGAAGATACAGTTCAGGACGGAGATTGAGAGTGTCTGTGAAGCTCTTGAGGTTT